AGCGCCGGCCCGGGCGCATCCTCCGCGCGCCGCGCGCCGACGGCCCCGCTCCGCGCCTGCTTCAGCTTCGTCGCCGGTGTGGTTCTCTGCCCGCTCCGCGCCTCAGCCCAGACCTGCAGCCTTACCCGATGTGCTTCTTCCTCAGCGCCAGGGTCTCCTGCTTGCTGTACAGCTCGCACATGGTGGACGCGCAGCCCGGCGCCCCAGCGCGCGGTCCTCTCGGGTACGTGCGCCCTCGCGGGAGATCGCGGACCTCGCTGGGCCCCCGGGGCGGCGGAGGTCGCTGGTGGCAGCTGGCTGGGGGCATCGCCCTTTTAAGGCTTGCCCTGCCTTTGCCTTTGGCCAAGCCCCACCTCCGCTCCCCTCCTCCGCCGGCGCCTGCTGGGCAAGTCACCGACTCGCCACCCGTTCGCCACCCTTCCCGCCCGCGGGCGCCCTGGTTCCCGGCTCCCCGCGGGTGTGCCTACTGCCCCTCCCCATCCCCTTGTTTCTGACTTGTCCCTTTCCCCCCGGACTTTGCCTTTCTTTCTCCTCTGCCGGAGAATTCCCTCTCGGTTCCTTTCTTGTTCCTTTCAAGCGCGCTCCGTTTTCTTGGAAACTTCCAGATAGGCTTTTAGGGAAGGGGCGCAACGCTACAGTTGTCTCTATTCCCACGACCTACCCAAACAGAAGCAACAAGCTACGTGCCCTGAGGATGAGTAACAGGGACGCAGCTGGAATTTTGTTGGGAGCCATAAAGTACACGGTGCCCTAAATACCTGTTTTAACCATAAATGCACTGCGCGTTTCTCTAGGATCCTACCGACGACGGCAGGACATATTCACGTGACTTATCTGATTCAGTCCTCCAACAGCCCTTAGAATGCGCCTGAATTTCCCCACTACCGTGGCAAAAGGGAGGACGCAGTTATCTGCATGCATTTAAAGTTTATTCCTAGTTTTCTTGACTTCTACCGTGTTCTTTGCACAATTGAAGTGATGGACTGGGGAAGCCCTAATTAGCTATAACGTGAAATCATATTATTTTAAGGAGAGACTGTGTGGTTTCCCTTGCCTGTAGATAAGATGCGGGAGGCACAGGAAAGGTAAGGTGTTTTTCAAGGGCGTTTTTCTGTGAGCCATAGAGCTAGATTAGGTCGTTGCTATTTTGTGTATGTGTTTTGCTAGGCAGCTGAGAAAGTCTAGGTTTACCTGTAACAATGTACTTGATAAATGCTTGCGATGACCTTTTCTCTGGAATAAAGCTGTCATGAATTTGTATGAACACACAACAGGAGTAGTAGGATTGCTTACCTAAGACAGGGTTGAGAAATAGAGCCTTCTGAGTGGCGAGTTAAGAATTGCAGGTGTCATAACTGAAGGACTGAAGTCACTTAAGAAACCTGCAAGAAATCCCAGTCTCATCATCTTGGTCTAATCCATACTGAAGGAAGCCACCAAATGTAAATCTGTTCAAGCCCCCTAGACCTGTTAGAGTCACAGGTGGACAGATCTCCCTCTGTAATCTTGAGTCCCCTGTCGTCCCCAGTGCCTACAGTATGTTCTTTAAATAACGTTGACCAAGTGTCATGGCTTGTAGCCCTGGTTCTTCCATAAACATTAGGGTGGACCCTTTGTTTGTGTTAAAAAATAGTGGTATCACCTCACCCCAGTGAAAATGGCACATCTTCAAACAGCTAGCAACAACAAATGTTGGCGAGGATGTGGAGAAAAAGGAACTCTCCTG